ACTTGGTAACCCAGGCTGGCCTCGAACTCACAGAGATCCGCCTGGCTCTGCCTCCTGAGTGCTGGGATTAAAGGCGTGTGCCACCAACGCCCGGCTAAAAATTAAGTTCTCTTTAAATACATAATCCTCTTCTTGAGATCTTTTATTGTACTATATATCATGAGCCATTGTGCATTATTTTGTTTACCTTAGTTGCAGTGGCTATTTACATTTTTAATTTAGATATTTTCAGATGATTGATTGAGTTATCTAGAGGATTACTAGACTAGGAAGAAACCTCAGTACATTCAATAGAATTCAATCTTCAACAATATGTTCTCTCAACAATGAAAGACGGATGGAGAAATGGCTAAGCTGTCCAGAGGTTTGGTTCCCAGCACCCACATAGTGGTTAACAGTCATTTGTAATTCCAGTTCTAGGGGATCCAGTGCCCTGTTCCAGCCTCCATGGATAGTGCACACACATGGTTCATAGACACACATGTGGACAAAATACCCATATACATAAAAAAATCTCAAAATTTTTTTAATGGCAAGAAAAGGCCTTGTCGTAGCATGTGGTTTTCTTACATCACATGTATTTCATCCTCAGCCTAACTTCATGTTGAGTCGAATATATTATACCCCAAACCTACTAATATTTTGAGTTCTATGTGAAAGCAATGATTTTAATATCCCTGCACCTGTAAGTTATATTAATGAGGTTATTTATTTTAAAGGGTTGTTAAAAAACTAGATAATGGTTTCTAAAATATATAAGTGAATAAATAAGCAAGTAGCCAATAAATAATTAGAATTGTATTCAACCTGTTCTGCCAAGTGTCAGGTTTCCTATTATAGAAATGATCTTAATTTGAATGAAAAGTTTGGAGAAGACTTAGTGCAGAAATCAACTATTAGTAAACATTATTTCAGCAAATCATGTAATCTGGAATTCTGAAGGATGATAAGTTGGTTTTCTTTGTTGTTTTATTTGTGTGTTTAAATATGCTGTGTGTATCAGCTTGACATACCTGGGAAGAGGGACTCTCAAATGAGGAATTGTCTTAGTCAGATAGGCGTGTGGGTATCCCTACGTGGTATCCTATTTTCTAAATTGCTAATTGATGTAGGCTCTTTGTGGGCCTGGGCAGTATAAGAAGGGTAGCTGAGCAAGCCAAGGGAAGCAAGCCAGGAAGCAGCTTTCCACCTGTCCTGAGTTCCTGTCCTGACTTCCCTCAATGATGAGCTGTGATTGGGAGTGTAAGCCAAGTTAAACCTTTCCTTTTCCAGTCCCTTTTGGTGTTTGTCATAGCAACAGAACTGGAACATAGGCTGTCTTTATAGCATTCTTTTTTGTTTTGTTAAAAAGGAAACCTCTTATAGATATAGAAAGTGATAATTTGGGTTTATATTGTTATATCATTTCATGTATCCCATAATTCAGGCTAAGAGTTTCTTAAATGTTTATTATATTTGGAACACTATTAATTTTGAGTCAATATCTGTTATTTAGGGAACTATGCAGGCCGAGGAACTACTGGAATGGTTGCTCGATTTATCCCGTCTCATCTTAGTAATAAATCCTGCAGAGTGACGTCTCTGTGTTATAGTGAAGATGGCCAAGAGATTCTTGTTAGTTATTCTTCAGATTACATCTATCTGTTTGACCCCAAAGACGACACAGCACGAGAACTTAAAACTCCTGCAGAGGAGAGGCGAGAAGAGGTAAGATTACTCAACTAGACTCTTTATTCATGGGGAGATGCCTGTAATTCCCAGGAGAAGGCAGGATAGATGATCATTCTTGGCTAAGTAAGTTTGAGGTCAGCCTGGGCTACATATGATGCTGTCTCAAAAAAAAAAAAAATAAGGAAAAGGAAAAGAAATAGAAGAGTTAAGTGTCCAAATAAATAAGTAAATGCATTGATTTTTGAAGGGTTTATGCTTTAGGGAACATACGAAAGAACAGGCTGATAAATAGCTCTGGAAAATGAGCTAATTTTAGGAAATACGTAATATAAAACCTTTAACCTTGTAGATGCACAACACAGCAAAAAAATCAACAGCTCTAGTACTTGTGGGAGAGTCAGTTAAGACAGTGGACAGTGTGATGGTAAACGTCTACGAGATTGTGTTCATGCACCAAGTGCCACTCCTTACCATTCACTGTTTACACGCAGGCAACAGTTCCATCCTCTCTCAGCTGTACCTTTTTTTTTTTCAGTTACAGGTTAGTGGCATGTAACAATAGCCCTACGTACAGGTTACAAAATTTACTTGAGAAAGTAGGAAAAGTTCAAGAGGGCATTTCTGTCAAAGGTGAATGAATTGAATTACTGTGACCAAAATAGAAAAGTAGGAAGCTAGAAGTGCATTTTGGACAGTATGCAACCATGAGAACATATTTGGTGTAGCTTGTTAGGCTTTTCCTAACATTCATGCCATGTTGACCTTCAAAAATACTCTATTGAAGATTTACTTTTAATGTTTAAAAAGTTTATTATTTTATATGTATGGTAGTTTTGCTTGTATGTATGTCTACGCATCATGTACATGCTTATTGCATGCCAAAGGCCAGAAGAGCGTGTCTCATCCCCTAGAATTGGGAGTTACAGAAGACTGAGCTGCCGTGTCAGTGTTGGGAACCAAACTTGTGTTCTCTGGAAGAGCAGCAAGTGCTCTTAACCACTGAGCCATCTCTGTATTCCTAACTTTGACCTTTTTATTTTGCTATGATCTACACTTGTTCTATACTTCGGCTTATTAAATGTTTCTTAAATTAATTAATTGTCAATTAATAGTGGTTTGGTATTAACTAAGTATTAATGAGCTTATATTATTTGATTTATGGTAATAGAGATTGAACCCAGGGCCTCACATTATAGGCAAGCACTGAGCTATATTCTCAACATTTTGCACATTTAAAGGAAGAATGTAGCAAATGTGTAATTCCCATGAGATGAAAAACTAAATTCAGTTGTGAATACTGATGACATAACCACTGTAAGGTATGGTTGAAGGGAAGGTTTTCATTGTAGATATGAGGGGAGTACAGCCAGAGGCATCTGGAAGAATCCAGAGCAGAGAGAAAGTAGTGGACTGATCTGGTCTTGAATGGAGAGATGGGGTTGGGAGAATGAGAGGTGAAGACAGAGAGGAAGACAAAAGAGATGGAGCATAGCCAAAATAGTGGGGTTATAAGGAGGATGAGAAGCTGGGCCAGGGATGGAAACCCTGGACTGAAACATTTAGGGGAAAGGGTAGGGTGAGAAGAGCCAGGATGCCAGCGTGAACTCTGAAAATGTCTAACAGCTGCTTGTGATAGTGAGGGAGGCTGCAGGCCAGCATGCTAATAGATATCATGGATGGCCATTTGCCCTTTCTGCCAGTGATAAGGAAACAGCTCTTTTGGTGGAGGGGAGCAGGTTTCATAAATTGCTGAAGAATGCTGCTTTTAGGTAACCGCCAGAACTTGGGCTTGACAAGTTATTATAAAATTAGAGAAAAATATTACTTTGTAGATGAATTTTAAGATGTTGAATGTGACAGTATATTTATGTAAAGTAGGAAAATTATGAGTTATTTATGAGTTTATTGGACGGATTGAAGACGAATTCTGCTGTGTCACTTTGTTGCTGCTGTGCAGTTTCCCCTTGAGACATGTGGTAAGTATAGTTGCAGTCAACCTCTGTGACTGAGAGATAGTGAAAAACTGGGAAGTGGACAGACGTTTTGAAAGTGGGCCAGCCAACTTTGTTATCATAGACTCCTTAGCTAAAGATGATTATATCATCAGGACTAATGCTGAATCATTTTGTGGAGATGTTTTTCTTAGTATGCGTTGTTGAAGCCACCAAGTTAAAAACAATAATTCTAAAATATGAATTATAAAAATAAACCATACTTATTATATTTAGCCAAACGAGAGTTTTATATGTGTGTAAAATTAATGAGCTGTCTTCTTTTTAATTCCTATAGTTTTTCATTTGATATTTTATGTTAAAACTTAGACAATAATATTTAGATCAGCTATTCTTAACCCAACAATTATTTATTAGGTACCTTTGTACACTTAGTTTTAAACTTCAAAAAATGATTACATGAGCTGGGTGCATGCCTTTAATCTCAGCAATCAGGAGGAAGAGGCAAGTGGATCTCTGAGTTTAGGGCCAGCCTGGTCTATAGAGCAAGGCCAGCCAGAGCTACACAGAAAACTCTGTCTTGAAAAACCAAGAAAAAAAAAAAAAGAAGAAAAGAAAATGATTATATAAAGACATGGCCCCTTCATTTAAGCCAGCAAAGTACTGAGTGTCTCTGTCTCCCCTTCTCCCAGTGCTGGGGTTAGGAGTATACCTGACCACACTCACTTTTGGCATGGATTCTAATAATTCCAAGGTCCTCATGCGCAGCAAACACTCTTACCACTGAGCCATCTGCCTAGTCACAATCAACTTGTGAAAGTATATAATTAATTAAGTATTGTATATTCACAAAGTAATGCAGCTAATATCATTGTTGATACTATATCATATTAATCAACTGAGAGAGCATGCTAAGTGAAAGAAAATAGATACAAAAAGATACATATTGTATTATTCCACTGATATGTGATACTATTTTTAAAGATTTATTTATTTTATGTATATGAGTGCTCCATTGGAATTTTGCCTGAAGAGTGTATCATATTCCACTATAGATGGTTGTAAGCCACTATGTGGTTGCTGGGAATTGAACTCAGGACCTCTAGAAGAGCAGCCAGTGCTCTTAACCACTGAGCCATCTCTCTGGCCCAGAATACATACATCTTTAGAGAGAGAAAGTAGATTATTGGTTTTCTGGACCCTTGAGAAGGGACAGGTGAAGAGTGGCTGCTGATGGGAATGGGATTTCTTTTGGAGATGAATGAAATGTTCTAGAATCAGATAATGATAACAGTTGATACTAATCCCTGAAAGGTGCCCTTTGACTTGGAAGTTAATTATTGAGCTTAGTATTGACTCTTTACATCTATCTGTCTGTCTGTCTGTCTGTCTATCTATCTATGTGTCTGTATACATGCCATAGCGCACATGTGGAGATCAATACAGCTTATTTTTTAAAAGCTTTTTTTGTTGTTGGTTTTTCATTTTTATTTTTTGTTTGTTTATTTGTTTGTTTCAAAACAGAGTTTCTCTGTGTAGCCCTGGCTGTCCTGGAACTTGCTCTGTAGACCAGGCTGGCCTTGAATTCAAAAAGATCAGCTTGCTTCTGTCTTCCAAGTGTAGGAATTAAAAGCATGTGCCACCATAGCCTGCCTGGCTTAGAGGAGAACTTTTAAAAGTTGATTCTTGGGGTTGGGGATTTAGCTCAGTGGTAGAGTGCTTACCTAGCGAGCGCAAGGCCCTGGGTTTGGTCCTCAGCTCCCCCCACAAAAAAAGTTGTTTCTTTCTTTCTGCCATATTGGCTACTAGGATCAAACTCATGCCATTAGATTCGGCAGCAAGAACATTTGTCCACAGCATTGGCTCACTGGCCTCCACTGTTGACTTTTTTTTTTTTTTTTGACCATGATATGTGAATTTGACAAATGTTTACTCATTGGTGTGCAAGTTAGTTTTTTGTCAACTTGACACAGACCTAGACATATCTGGGAAAAGAATTGCAATTCGTGAATTGCCCCCATTAATTTGTCCTGCGGCATGTGTATGGAGGCATTTGCTTGATTAATGATTTATGTGTGAAGGCCCAACTGTGGGTGCTGCCTCTCGTGGACAGTTATGTAAGAGAGCAGGCCAAACCATGGAGAGCAAAGCAGAAAGTCGCATTCCTCCATGAGCTCTGCTTCAGTTTTCGCTTTAGTTCCTGTTCTGACCTCCCTTCATGATGGACCATAAGCTGTAAGGAGGAGTCAATGCCTTCCTCTCCAAGTTGTTATCACAGCAATAGAAAGCTAACTAGAATGTTTGGTTATCTTGGTAAGAATGGTATCAGTGGAAAGATTAAAAAAGCAAAACAACCAGCGGCAACAATGGAAACATTGACTGGATTGGATTGAGAGAGGAATGGTGGAGTAAATGTAGCTAGGGAGAAACATATGAGCTCTTAGGAAACTGTGAGTCTCTTCACATCAATAGAGAACTTTCAGTATGTTAGAGAACCAGGTGAGAAGACATGAGTAAGGAAAAGAAAAGAGTGATGTTGACGCAAGGTGCTTGAGGGTTGAAGAAAGGCAATGAAAAGCAATAGGTGAACACTTGGGCCTAAAGAGAAGGAATGATACATTCTTTGAGAATGATTAGCAGGTAGGGAGTTTTGAGTAGAAATAAATTTGTAGAATTCTGCTAAGAAAATTGGTATCGTTTCTGTAGGGCTTTATTTTTAAAATAAATAAAGCCATACTTTGTGTATTATAGAACAAATTTGTGGGAAAATCGCTCTTTCAGTTAGGTCAGTGAGACACATATATTCAGTGGCTAGTCATGTCTAGTTGTGATCCTCCTGCCTCACCTGGGATTGCAGGTGGGCACCACTGAACCCAGCTTACATGTACACAGTCTCAAAGTTGTATTTGTATTTGTGCTTTTTAGGTTGAGGATAGTAAATACAGACTGTAGCACCAGTGGATATTTATTATCATGAGCTCTGTAAAAGACTGATACACCATATAGCAGTATTTCATGTATTGATCTAGCATTTCATTTCCATACTTAAAGATAGTAGGGTGTTGGAAATGCTCCATTAAAGTGTGCTGTAAGAATTGTGGACTGGGGATTAATTCAGAGGTATAGTACTTAGCTCAGCTGCACAAGGTCCTGGATTCAGTCCCCAATCCCCAGAATAGATGTTGGAAGCAAATCTGTTCTTTAGACTCACATAGACTCTACTTATGATTATTACCTTGTAGTTACGACAGCCTCCGGTTAAACGCTTGAGACTCCGTGGTGATTGGTCAGATACTGGTCCCAGAGCAAGGCCAGAGAGTGAACGAGAACGAGATGGTAACTATACTTTAGCTGGCTTTTCTGTGACATGTGCTATTTAAAGATGTATTTATCTTGTCTGTGTGAGTGTTTTTCCTCCTTGTGCTGGTGGAAAGCAGAAGAAAGCATCAGATACCCTGGCACTGGAATCACAGATGGTTGTGAGCCACCTGGGAACTGAACCTGGCTCCTTTTCAAGAGCAACAAGTACTCTTAACCTCTGAGCCATCTCTCCAGCCCCTTATTTCCACTGTTTTCTATTGTAAATGATGCTACAATGAAATCTTAGTAAGAATATTTTTGTAGAGGTGTCCAAATACATCACAGGGTATATTCCTAGAAGTGCAATGGCTAAGTCACTGGATAAGTATATTTTACTTTTATATACATATGTGCATACACACATATATGATACATACATATATAAATAATTTATATATAAAATATATTTTATTTGATGAATCTATAGCCAAAATCTTACTCTAATTATTATTAAAACTTTAATACTCAAAACAGTTTCCTAGGTATAGTATCTTTGGCTCTATTTTATAATATTCTTAAATATAAAGTTAAAGTATGTAAAGGGGCTTACATGCCTGTAATCCCAGAATTTGGAAGGCTATGACCAAAGGATTATTATAAATTCAAGCCAGGGCTACATAGTAAATTCCAGACCAGCCTGGACTACAGAGCCAGGAGACCCTGTCTCCAAAAAAGCAAACCATATCAAAGACATGATTGGATAATCATTACATTTTGTATCTGACCTCATACTCTGTTTGTTCTGACTTTTGAACCCAGGCCGTACTGTGTAGCCCCACCTGTCTTCATACTCTCTGTGTTCCAGGCTGGTCTCCAGGTCACGACAGTCTTCCTGCTTCGGCCTCCTGAGTGCTAGGTCTTCATACTTCCATTTTCAAGTGCCCTGAATATCCACAGCCCTGTAAGAACGTGAACTGCTCTTACTATTCCCTATGGTGTAACAAAATAAAATGCCCTTAAAGGAGAAAAGCAAACAGATGTTTATTTGAACAAAGAAAAGGAGTTAAGTTGAAAAAACAAAATACATTCTCTGTCAGCTAGTTGCAAATACCTGGGGCCATATAACCCCAAAAGGATCTGATCTCATTAAATACCTGGAACTTATAGTAACTAGTAAGAATTCTGTTTTAGGGAAATTGAGGTAAAATCCCAAGGTTATTTCATGTCTGTCCTTGATAATAATGTTGTAGTGAGAAAGCAAGCCTTTTCTTCAGTTTATTCCACTTAGAATTCATGGGCCCTCCTATGGGGCACACATAACTATTAATAAACAGTGGTGGGACAGTGGGGAGACACAGAGTTCCCTAAGAACAGGCATAGATGAGGATGAGAATACACTATTGTACACATACATGGATAGTTATTCATTCAATTATTATAAAATGTGATGAGGACTCTAATAGGTTCTTATGCATTCACATAAGTTACTCAGATGATGTGATGTTTTAATTTCTAGCATTTTAAAGACCTTTAAAACTAGGTTTTTGTATTAAAGATCCCGACTTTTGCCAAACTTAATAATAAAATTTATGTTGTAATAGGAGAGCAAAGTCCCAACGTGTCGCTGATGCAGAGAATGTCTGATATGTTATCAAGGTGGTTTGAAGAAGCAAGTGAAGTTGCCCAAAGCAATAGAGGAAGGGGAAGACCTCGGCCCAGAGGTAATTTGTCTTACTAGTTAAAGTCCCTCTCTTTCTTCCCTTCTTCCCTTCCCTCCCCTCCTCCCTCCCTTCTCCTCCCTCTCCTTCCATCCCCTCTCCTCCCCTCCCCTCCCCTTCCATCACTTTGTTTTTGAAACAGGGTTTCTCTCTGTAGCCCTGGCTGTCCTGGAACTCACTCTGCAGAGCATGCCCACTAGAAGACAGTTTTTGTTGATCTCATCTATCTAAACTGAACTGTGTTTTATAACCAAAGTAGTCATAGGTCTCTTCTGATTCCACTAGCCCTAACTCTTTAACTTATCTCAAAACAAAGAAAACAAAAGTAAGATTTTCAATTTTAAGTCCCTTTCCAATGCACTTTGAAAGTGGACGTCTACAAAAACTCTAAAGATAAGCACGTGCATATAATTTTAAAAATTGATTATTTAAAAAAATTGATAATCTAGTTGGGTGGTGGTGGTGCACGCCTTTAATCCCAGCACTCAGGAGGCAGAGCCAGGCAAATCTCTGTGAGTTTGAGGACAGCCTGGTCTACAGAGCGAGATCCAGATCAGGCACCACAACACAGAGAAACCCTGTCTCAACAAAACAAAACAAAACAAAAAATTGATATCTATTTGGTGTGTGTATGTGTGTACATATATGTATGTGTGTGCATGTGGAGGTAAGAAAACTTGGGGAAATCAGTTTTCAAACTTAGTCAGACTGGGCAGCAAGTATCCTTAGCCATCATTCTGGCCCAAGATTGATTATTTTAACAAGAATGTGTCATTAATTCTTATTTCTATTGACTAGACTGTTTGATCAGTGGCTATTATTGGTACACTGAATGTCTTAGTTGGGGTTTCTATTCTGTGATGAACAAAAAGAAAGTTGAAGAGGAAAGGATTTACTTGTCTTACACTTCCACATCGCTTTCATCATCAAAGGAAGTCAGGGCAGGAACCTGGAGGCAGGAGCTGATGCAGAGGCTGTGGAGGGGAGCTGTTTACTGACTTGCTTCCCATGGCTTGCTCAGCCTGCTTTCTTAAAGAACCCAGGACCAGGGATGGCACCACCCACCATGGGCTGGGCCTTCCTCCATTAATCAGTAATTAAGAAAATGTCTTAAAGCTGGATCTCCCCCCCCCCCCTTAAAACAGGGTTTCTCTGTGTAACTTTGTACCTTTCCTGGAACTCACTTTGTAGCCCAGGCGGGCCTCAAACTCACAGAGATCTGCCTGCCTCTGCCTCCCAAGTGCTGGGATTAAAGGCGTGCGCCACCACTGCACTGCTAAAACTGGGTCTTATGTGGTATTTTCTCATCTGAAGTTCCCTTCTTTCAGATAACTCTAGTTTGTGTCAAGTTGACATAAGACTACCCAGCACATTATAAAAGGTACTGTATATTTATTTATTATACACACACATATATTGTGTGTGTGTTTTCAGAACATGTTTTTGTAGGTTTGTTTTTGTGTTTGTTTTGCATTTAAAATTTGAGTTTGAGGCTAGAGAGATGGCTCAAGAGCAACTTAGAGGTGGTTAAGAGCACTTACTGCTTTTGGAGAAGACTTGAGTTCAATTCCCAGAACATAGCTGCTCACAACTGTCAGCAACTCCAGTTCTGGGGATTCAGTATCCTCTTGGCCTCTGCAGGCACATGCATGCATGTGACCAAAACACTCAGACGTGCACAATAAAAATAATTACATCTTTAAAAACTTGAGTTTGCCTTAACATGTGCTTTTTTTTTTTTTTTTTTTAAGGTGGAACAAATCAGTCAGATGTTTCAACTCTTCCTACGGTTCCATCAAATCCTAATTTGGAAGTGGGTGAAACTGCAATGGATGTAGATGCCCCTGCTGAGCAACTTCAACCTTCTACATCCTCTCCAGTGTCAGTTCCAGCTCAGGCAGCAGCATCTGCCATAGAAAGCCCTCATTCTGCTTCTCTGCTGCCTTCTCCAGATAGTGAACAGAGGCAGTCTGTTGAGGCGTCTGGACACCATACACATCAGCAGTCTGGTGAGGATGTTATTCTTCAAGTAAGCTGTTGATGTGCTGATCTCTGTTAATGAACACCTTATGGTCTGTTGTGAAAGATTCTAAATCACAGTAACTTCTTGATGGAATAAATGGTCAGAATTATTCGTAGTATGCAAACAGTAACTTAAACACAAACTTCAAGTGTGTCTAATTTGCATGAATTTTTACAAATAATGAATCTTTATTTTGCATAAGATAGTTTTTCTAAGGTAACTAGGCATTATTTTGACATAGTTTAGTAAACTGGAAGATTATTTTATAGACCATTATAGGTGAAAATAATGTTCTAGATTTACTTGGTTATATGTCTGTATTAAAATGACAGTGAAAATATATCTTCATTATTATTATTATTCCGTTGTATTTATATTTTTAATTTTTTCTCAGATTATGAAATACTTTGAATATGTTCAGAATAGTGAGTCTGCAATGGGCCCTTCTCAACAGCATAGTGTGCTTTACTAGGAGAATTATTTCACTATTATATATATGAAAAGGAATTCTCTTACCAAATCTTGGTCTTTACTTGATGCTAGTAAAAAGAAAAAATCAGTTCCTAAATTCTCTTAGCATATTCTCTCAATACAGTAACGTCTCATGTTTTTTTTCTCCCAACTATGGAATATACTACTATCTGCAGTAATATCAGTGTGTGTGTATATATATATATACTCGAAATTTTTACTATACTTGTTAATATAGTAAAAATAATATATTTGTTTATTATTTTAAGTTATTTTAAGGAAGCAGTTTTCTTGACAGACGACAGAAATATTAGCAAGGAATATAGCTAGGAATACAGCTAGCACCTAAACTAGGACCTCTGACAGTCTCCTAACAGCTTCGCCTCCAAGTTGTCCTGGATGCCAGATCCCAGATGGTGGATGTTTTAAATTAAGTGCAGTTTTATCACTATATCTCATTTTTGGTAATTAATACTCACTTTCTATGGGAATAGAATGCAGGGTCAACTGTATAACTATCAACACTATGTATAGTTTATAAAAATAAAAGCTAAAGCTGAGCTAGAAAGTCAGCTTTTCTGCATTTTACGTGGCATTTCAGCTTGAGGGAAAATAAAATATTCTGAATTGTTTGAGAAACAGAGTTAGAAGTAGACTAAAACTAGTATAATTAGTGAAGATAAGGAAAATTTTAGAAATACTAATTTTTATTTTATGTGTGTTAATGTTTTGCCTGCGCATAGGCATGTGCATTGCGTTTGTGTCTGAGGAGGCCATCAGAGGGCATCAGCCTCCCTGGAACTGGAGTTAAATCAGTTGTGAGCCACCATGTGCTGGGAACTGAGTCCACGTCCTCTGTAAGGGGAATAATGCTCTTTATGGCTGAGCCATCTCTGCAGCCTCAAGATAAGGATTTTTAAAGTAGTAGTGTGGTTGCAAATATTCTGAGAGATTTTAAGCAATCATAAGTTATCAGGAAAACTTAGCAAAAAGACTCTTTAGCCCAGTTTTAAGTCCTACTGAGTCTTAAATAGTTCCAATTATTTCTTAAACACATTTGTGAGTTAAATATTTTGGAGCTTTAAAAAAATGTTTTTCATAGTTATTTTACACATTTTCATACCACAGTTTAAACTGCTGAGCTCCTTTTAGTGTTTAATATACTAAGCACTAACGAATAGTTTTGTGATGACCATATGATCATTATGTGAATACTATTTAGTACCTTTGTCCATAAACATTTCAAAGATAGTAAGGACATGTTTTGAATTAATAGATTGAGACTTTTGCTTAACTTTTATAAGCTATGATTAGAGTATTTTCCTGTTTTCTAAATTGTACCACTTCTGAGGAAAATGATTTGGTGTGAGATGTAGATTATGCCTATAGTTATTTCAATAGTAGCCCTTTTGTTATTTTAGCATCCATCATGTCTACAACAAGGACCTAATGTTTTGTTTTTGTTTTTTCTGATCCATTTGTGCTTACCAAAGCCTATCCAAATCCAGGTGCCTTAATAGACACTGGGATTGTTCGCTGTGAGAATGTAATAGTGGGAATGTCAGTTTGGAGCCGAGCTTCTGTCGGTGCCTTTGTAGAGCTAGACAAAGTGGAGGTGACTGCTTCTCTACACTCATCTTGCTGTGGACATCTCTTTATGTAAATGTCTGTGCTTTTCCTTTATATCACATGTCTTTCCTTTGTCATTTTTACTAGTTGACTACAGGGACAGTGAGAAGGAAAACTAGCCCAGTGCTTTGGGGTCCTTCTCATGGTCTACATCTGAATCTCTCAGTGATGATGGTGAAAGTCACACCATGAATGTTAGTGAACACTTCTCAGAGCAGTCTGTCTTTCCAGGCTTTCGCTGTCCAGCTGTAAGAATGTTTTCTTACCCCTCCCTGGCTTTTAAAATTTTAGTATTCTGGTTTACCTTCTCTACTCCATAAGCTGCGACCTTGTAGAACTCCTTCACAGTGAAGAACAAAGCACACCATTTCAGCTTTCTAACGTTGTCTAGAAGAAATGAATCTTCTCCTGTCACACCTGGCTGGAACAGTTCAACCCATGCCTTCCCAGATTCCCAGGGACTATACTCCTGTTCCCCTGCCTTCCCAGATTCCCAGGGATTACACTCCTGTTCCCCTGCCTTCCCAGATTCCTGAAGGCTTCAACTTTTTTTCCTGCCTCATTATTACCTTTTCTGCTTAATTTTTCCATTTAGCCTCAAACATACTGTTATCTCTTTCCTAAAAACAGAAAGCATCTCTTGATCATCCTACATTTCTGCAAATAAGGCTGCTCTATTGCTCCACTTCTACATTTCTCTGCAACTCCATTTTCACCCCCCATTTATTCATGAACCAACTGAAATTTGCTTTTCAGCCTCCTTTTCCTGTGGACATTTTTGTCAATGTCACCAGTGAGCTCTTTCTTGCCAATCGTGAGACTATGTCTCTGTCAGTACCTTAGCAGATTTTTTTTGACTAGTTGCATTTAACATAGTCTTTCCCTTCTTGCCTTTCTTGGCATTCATTCCACACTTGCCCACTTGCTCTTATTATCCATCATGGCTAAGTTTCTCATAACCATTGCTAGTTTTTTTGTTTTATCTATGTTTGATTGAAGCTTGTGGTTGAACCTCTTAGGATGACCCTCCTCTCTTTTCTATGTAAACTTTGCCCATCTGTGATTCACTTCTAATGTATGACTCCCAAAGGTACATTTAAGTCTTGTCTTACAACCCAGGTTTCAGATTCTTTTGCCTATTTATTGTATGGGACTACTTTTTGGTTGTTTTCAGTGATTTAATTTAATAATATGTCCAAAATACAACTTAATGCAGCCTCCTGTCCTTCCCATCTCTTAATGGTTATACCTTAGTCCTTTTCTTTTAAACATTTCAAAAATTTTAATTACATTTGCACTGTGCTGTGTGTGTGTGCATGTGTGTGTGCATGTGTGTGTGCATATGTAGGTCAGAGGACAACTTTCATCAGAGATTGTAGACTTGGCAGGACTTACCTCCTGAGCCATCTCACTAGCCTTTACTTTAGTCCTTTTATGCTTTACTTTTATTTGCTTATTTTAATAACCCATGAGTTATTTTGTATCCTTTGGTTTTCTTTATGTCTCCTATTCAATTCATCAACAAGTCCTATTGCTGCTGTATCTGAATTGTATTCCACCTCCTTTCATTCACTGTCATTCCTTATCTCTTAGTTGATATCCGTGCATCTGTTCATGTTCTCCTCTGTAAAGTTATTCTCCAGAAAGAGGACACAATAAGCATTTAAAGCATTTAATCAGTTTGGCTGTGGATAGCACTCTATGAAAGCTTTGTATTTAGAGATAGAGCGGAGAAAGAAAATACTCGAAAGTCTTCCTGTGGACCTCTGAGAACCCACATGGACTGGCCTTGTACACTCTAGCTTCTTCTCACGCTGTCTTTTTATCCACAGGTCATCATCAGGTTCTGTCGGTACTGACTCCTCTCAGTTCCTCTACTGTGCCAAACTCTTTTTTGCCTCCTCCTCCTTTGTCTTTAAGTTCTTACTGTTCTTTTTAGTAGGAAGGTTTTCTTCAGTTTAAATACCTCCCAAGAGAGTGGTCCCATGATTTTCTTAGAGTACCCCCCTTTTTTTCCTACTTGCCCTAAAATGTTACATTTTTTTAATAGAACCTTGTTTATTTTACAAATGTACCTATTATACTTTATGATTTCTTTTCAATTTGATTGATTTGTTTATGACTTTATTAGCCTGGGATCTCACAAAGATTGGGCATTTATTGCCTGATGAGTCTGTAATAAGAATATCTATCTTTCCTCAACAATAGTCTGTTTCTAAATATGCAGTAAGAATATTATAAGACATCCAGTTATATTTTAGTCTTTAGAATTCTAGCCCCAGTTCATAAACTGTTTTGTGGGGAAGGAGGCCCTCCTGTCTGAGAATCTGGAGTGCTGAGGTCACATATGTATCCCACTATCCCTGCCCATTAACTTTTTTTTGAGACAGGATTTCTCTGCGTAGTTTTGGAGCCTTTCCTGGAACTCACTTTGTAGCCCAGGCTGGCCTTGAACTCACAGAGATCTGCCTGGCTCTGCCTTCCGAGTGCTGGGATTAAAGGCATGCGCCACCACCGCCTAGTTGGCCATTAACTTTTGATATGTCTGGTAAGCTGTTGTCTTTCTGAGGAGTCTTTTGAGATAGCATCTCATGTCCCAGCTAGCTTTGAACTCTGGATCCTCCTGCCTTTGCTCCCAAGTGCATGAAAGCCATGCACCACTACACGCAAAAAGCTCTCCACAGTTAACAGCATGTAGGAGGCATGCAGTGTTTAGATTTCCAGTCTGTCATTTGGGGTCCATGTTTTGCTCTACAGTTATAGGCTAAATAATTTTTTGACTTATTATAAAAATATTTTAAGTTAGCCTACAGAAATATGTCTCTAAAATCTTGTTGTAAATCTAAATGAATGAATCGGACAGTTAGAATCCTGGCAGGAGAAGAG